TCTTGGTATACAGCCAAGATGGCGGCACCCGCGTGTTGGAGCACCGCCATCTTGGTGTATACAAAGATCTATTCCCATATGGCACCGATCTGGCCACCGCTCGTTCAGTGTCTGACGTCGTGTGATATCATACGCTCCGTCTCCAAGATGGTGGCGGGCATGCGCTGGCGTGTTCTGAAAACAAATTTATGTATGGCCGAATATAGTTTTAGTATATTGGGGCATATAGGAAATCCGTCTACTTGGATTCGGACGAACCGACTAATCAACTGATTCAGATTGTTCCCCCTTCATAGGAAAAAGTCTCAAAGTTTTAGGAGAATGGCAGTGCAAACTTTACTGCATGATGCCTTGGATCTATAAAAAGAAAGCGTATCTAAAACCCTGAGAACAAACATGTCCTATATTGCAGCTTACTAGTCCTCAGATGTGGCGGCTGCATTCGTTTTCTTTTTCTTTCCTTTTATTTTCACCTGGTGATCCTGCCAGCAACACACTTTCTATCCTAGGGTGACAACAATGCTCACTATTCTATCCACGGAAGAGCAGCGTTGCCACCCTGGGCTGCTCTCCTGATTTGGACTACAAACAACTCCTCCTTTGCATATCTCCATGACATCAGGAGAAGGGCTTTTAGTTCACTGAAGATAGATGGGGATGTTGGAGGACATTCAGCATCATCTACCTTTTTTCTTCCCTTCCTTACTGTCCCTGTCCCACCTCTTTTATAAATTGGATTTCAGGTCTTTCTATCATGGAGGCTTCGCGTGGGTGTAAACTAGGGTGGTCTGCTTGCAGAAATGCAGCCTGCAGAGGAACGCCCACTTCTCTAGACTGACATCCATCCATCAAGGCATTTTGATATTTGCATAACTCCTCCCAGGAGCCAGCCCACTACTTGCATCAGGGCAGAGGGCTCTTGAGCTGAGTACTAAGGCAGGGTGCTGTGATGTGCCCCTCTCGCCAGCCATGATCTGCATACATTACATAGAGAAGCACAGATAGATGATGTCACTAGATCTAAAATAAGATATGTAATGAAAAATGTCACTAGCAAACTAATGAGGGGGGAAGGAGGAACCAGAAAAAGAAAAATATAAGTACTAAAACACTAAATATTAAAAACGTCAGCTTTAAGTGTTGGGTAGGTTCGGTGTTATGGGGTATGGTCATGTCTAGCGGGCTAAAATTTGGGGATATGTTAAGTGTTAAAGTTGGTGGAGGGAAAGGTTAAATGTCAGAATGAGGATCAGTGCTAGAGACAGGTGGTAAATGAGGGGGGCATGAAGCACATTTAGGTTTGCTCTTGGTTTTTGGGCATCTAAATAATAATAATAATTAAAATGTCCCGATACCGGTACTAGCATCGATATGGGGACCGTTACAGGGCATTTTGACAAGTACTTTTACTTGTCAAAATGCCCCAATACAAAGCGACGAAGTTTGCTATATGTTCTTTTTTTTACTAACGTCGCGCCAAGCGTTGCGTCAACCCTGCTTTGGTGGGCGACGCTTCAGGCAATCGCCGGCCACCTAAATTAAATTATAACCCCACCTGGAGCGCCGCCCACCGGAGCAGCAGTGACGCGACGCTCCTCTCCAGCTCAGCGCCGATGACGTCCTCACGTGTGAGGAAAATCGTGAGGCACCGCGATCGAGGCAACAGTTGGTAAGACGGGGCCTGGGCTTAGTTTTTTGTTTGCTGCTGCAGTGCATTCTATATGTACTGTATATTTGCTACATATAGAATGCACTGCAGTAATAGAGTTACAATTCTGACCTGCTAATATGAATGGGTTAAATGATCCATAGTACATAATAGTACATAAAATTTAGTTGTACATATACAGCACACACGTCCAGTACACTGCAGTAATAGAGTTACAATTCTCCGCTGCTAACATGAATAGGTTAAATCATGATCCATAGTACATAATAGGTACATAACATGTAGTTGTACTATGGATCATTTAACCCCTTCATGTTAGCACATATACAGTACATATAGAGGGGAAGTACTTGTACTTGGTCCTGAAAAAGTGGTATCGGGACATCCCTAATAATAATGTATCAAAAACCCTCCACAGATAACTGACAAGTTTGATACAAGATACACCTCCTGCTCTAATGTCCAGTCTCAGGACCACAATCCTCCAGCTGTGAGGCTGAGCATACAGGGAATATGACGGTTCGAGTAACCTAATGAGAGACAGCTTTCTTGGTGTGGAAGGAGGACGGGCATTTTTGCCTGGTAAATGTGCTGTGCCACTGTGCCAACGATTTTTACATTGTGTGCTCTCCATTCCCTGGTCCAGGGAAGTCTCATCAGGCGAGTCCATGACCCAAGCAGTCACCCTAAATTAATCTACATACCACCCCTGCCGCTTATAGGCTCCATGTCACCACAATGTAAGGTGAACCCGCTTACTGCCTCTTATTATTTCAAATAAGTACTCATTGTTTTATTGTTATTTACACTGACACCTTGTATCAATCCGAACAAGATGGATTTGGAAGAAAGACATGAACGTGCAGGATGAGCGAGGAGAGACAGCCAGGAGGGTGAGCAAGGACAGACAGCCAAGAGGATGAGGGAGGAGAAAGAGTGAGGAGAGACAGCCAGGAGAGAGAGTGAGGAGAAACAGCCAGGAGAGAGAGTGAGGAGAGAGAGCAAGGGGAGACAGATAGGAGAAAGAGTGAGGAGAGCCAGCTAGGAGTGAGAGCGAAGAGAGACAGTAAGCAGGGAAAGCGAGGAGAGACAGCCAGAAGAGAGAGCCAGAAAAGAAAGCAAGGAGAGAGAGCGAGGAGAGACAGCCAGGAGGGAGATCGAGGAGAGACAGCCAGGAGAGAGAGATCGAGGAGAGATAGCCAGGAGAGAGAGTGAGGAGAGACAGCCAGGAGAGATGGTGAGGAGAGACAGCAGGAGAGAGAAGAGAGACAGCCAGGAGAGAGAGCGAGGAGAGACAACCAGGAGGATGAGCGAGGAGAGACAACCAGGAGGATGAGCGAGGAGATACAACCAGGAGAGAGCGAGGAGAGACAGCCAGGAGAGAGAGTGAGGAGAGACAGCCAGGAGAGAGAGTGAGGAGAGACAGCAGGAGAGAGAAGAGAGACAGCCAGGAGAGAGAGCGAGGAGAGACAACCAGGAGGATGAGCGAGGAGATACAACCAGGAGAGAGAGCGAGGAGAGACAGCCAGGAGAGAGAGTGGGGCAGGTGTCATTTTTAGTTGCTAGAGCTCATTATGCTCATCATTTAAAAAGTAGATCTTAACACGAAAAGTTGTGGTGACCCCGTCTTATAGGATATCTTATGACCGTGATTTGTGACCAATTTCTTTTTCTAACCACATGAAATAGCTAAAAACAGACGAGACACAACAATTAGAAGTCATTTTTCTGGAAATTTCCATACAAGTCGCATCCAATGTTGTCATAGAATGCATCTGAATATTCACTGCTATAGGTGAAATGGCTCAATACACAAAATACTCATTAAAGCATTCACAAGACAATGTAAAAATTGGAACATATCTGGTTGTTTTAGGGCTAATCTCAGGTTTGGTGATAAAGGATGAGTTTAAGGTTGTTGTTAGGGAGTTGGGTTTGGGGATTGGGTTCAGGAATGAGTGTTACAGGTTCAGGTAGAGTTAATGTTAGGGTAGAAAAACTAGAAAAGATGGAACATGCATGAATCTATAACCAACCTTTATAGCAGGGCGCACATTGGGAAGGCTTACAACAATACAAAACACAAAAATTCCCCAGCCTCAGCCTGTAATTTATCAACTTCATTAATATGCTCACACTTGGAGACTCGGGTACATAGAGTTAGGACCACACCTTGCAGAGGTGCCTTGGCGCGGCAGTGTGGCTTCTACATATTTTTGGCCAAAAGTTTGTGCAACTAAAACCTCTGATTTTAACGCATACTGTTGACAGGGCTACTTGTTTGGTTGCAGGCTGGCTGGCAGGTTGGGGCTGGGGAATTTTTGTGTTTTGTAGAGTTAATGTTAGGGGTTGGGTTTAAAGCTTAGCTTTAGGAGGATCCATTCGGTGGTTAACGATGCAGGTTGGGTTTAGGGGTTAATGTTAGGGGTTTGCATTTAGGGGTTAGTGTTACGAGATTGGGTTTAGGGGTCAGTGTTAGAAGGTTGGGGTTAGTTTTACAAAGTTGGGTTTAACGGGTCAGTGTTAGGAGGTTGGGTGTTGGGGTTGGTGTTACACGGTGAGCTATTGGTAAGTTTTAGGGGCTTGGGTTTAACATTCTGTGGGTGGGGGAGAGGGTTTAGTATTGGGGGTTCAGTTTAGGGGTTAGTGTTAGGACGTTGGGTGTTGGGGTTAGTGTTACGAGGTTGGGTTTAGGGGTCAGTGTTACGAGGTTGGGTGTTGGGGTTGGTGTTACAAGGTTGAGGTACTGGTAAGTTTTAGGAGCTTGGGTTTAACATTCTGTGGTTGGGGGAGAGGGTTTAGTATTGAGGGTTCAGTTTAGGGGTTAGTGTTAGGACATTGGGTGTTGGGGTTAGTGTTACGAAGTTGGGTTTAGTGGTCAGTGTTAGGAGGTTGGGTGTTGGGGTTAGTGTTACGAGGCTGAGGTAATGGTAAGTTGTAGGAGCTTGGTTTTCACGTTTTGTAGGTGGGGAGGGGGTTTAGTATTGGGGGTTCAGTTTAGAGGTTCGTGCTTGGGTGTTGTATTTAAGGTTTGTGCTAGAGAGCTGGTTTAGGGTTAGAGTTAGCCCAAGGGTTTATGGTTAGGGTTATAGGAATGAGGTAAGGCACTATTTTAATACTGTTCTGGTTCAGGAGTTGTTTTGGACCTAATGTCACAATCACTTTTCTACACTTTGCTCTGATGAACTCTACCATAGCTTCCTTCAGCATTGATTCTGACGCCCATATTCCTTAGATACAGCTCCCAAACACCCAGCTCCCCGCTCATTACAGAGTTATGTTTCAAAATATCCAAACACAAGTATTGGGCCAAAAACTAAATTTTACTTACCCTGACATAGAGGCAGATATCATCCTCTTGTGCCTCGTAATCCACCTCATCCCCATTGGTGTTCATTTGCCGAGAGGTGTCCAAGACCCGGGTGGAGAGACCAAGTGGTGCTACATACTCCCTTGGAGAGGTGGGTGACATAGGATCGGCGTATATGGCTGTGGGTGAATATGGAGATCTCATGTAGTCAGGAGATGTTGGAGTTGTAGAACGTGGAGAAAGGGATGCGCTGTGGTTGCTTTCGCTTTTTCCGATGATCAACTGCAGATTGGGTTTCTCTGGAAGATCCTCAGCATTCAAGCCCAAGTTATCGGGAATGCAGTAGATGTTCTCCTCATCCACCCAAGCTTGGGGCATTGAATCTTCATAGAGTTGCTCAGCTTCCTGTATGGTTGACATGATAGAGCTTGGGAACAACAGGTGTGAACCTTCTGCAATCAGTTTGAAATGCCGAATGACAAATGGCGGCTGTAATTCATCCAAGGAATGACCCAAAAAGATGCTAATCTTAGTCACCCATGAAGTGTAAAATGGGACCCGGCAATCATTGGCCAGCAGCAGCAGCAGCCGGCTCATAAGCTGCAGAGATCAATGTGCAGAAAGAGCAAAGAGCTGACTATAAATTGTGCCTGAGGGAGGGGCAGCCTGATCAGATGAGGGAGCAGCTGGGTGCAGGAGCTGCTCTCATACAATCAGTAGGACAATGCAAAGTATGCCATGCTGCAACAGTTGCTATGTACCTGGATGTCCCAATTCTATCATTCATGGCTGTGATTGTTTGTTAGCTCTGAAAGCAATGCTGGCTACAAAGAATGTCCTGGATTCAATAACAGTTGCAAAAGAGTTAATGAAGTTTGCAGCATCCACTAACACTTTGTAAACTTCATTACTCAGCACAAGGTGGTTCATTAACAGAAATCTGTCAGCTTGTCCACGTACAAACACCCTGTACAATTCAAAATCAACATTCGCAGGAAAACTATAATGGTTTTAGATCAGTTTACTTAAGTTTATATGTTTTATATGTATTTTTACAATCAATGTTTGTTTTTCGCATAGACATTTAATACACGATCAAGGATTCCCAGAGCACTATGGGTTTTTAAAAGAGTCACCACAGCAGAAATTGTTCCCTTTCAGACATTGTCTCTAATTTGGACCTTCGACCAAGCTGTATAAAGGGATGGACAGTGGATGAGATTGGTCACTGCTCTGCCTCATTTACCTCAGTGTACCCCACATTTCAGCTTGAGCTACTGAGCTCTGTAAACAGCAGACTTTTTCCAGTCATTTAGACTGGGCAGCAGAATGAAGGACCATCACAGAAAGCTATGAAGCTGTTTAAATAGAACACTTTCCACAGTCCTATTCTATGACGAACAGGGCCAGATTTCCCACAAGGCCAACCAAGGCCCGGCCTTGGGGCAGCAGGGGTGTGGAATTCCCATCTCCCGATGTCCGGGACATGCAGTTCCGGGAGCTGGGCGGATAGTTGTTTTCTACATATAGCCCTGCTTTGGACAAGCAGAGCTAAATGTACAGCGGGGAAGCCGCCGCTTATTTTGTACATGCGATCTCGGTAATTTCACCGAGATCACTTGTATTCAGCCCGCAGGTCTGTCATTCTCCATGGGGGGGTTTGCCGGTGGGGGAACCTGGCCTTGGGGCAGCAGGGAGAGCAAATCCGGCCCTGATGACAAACAATGTCAACAAATAAATAAGGAAAACCCATAACCATGAAACCGTTGAGAAACATGCCTCTTATTTTAAGGGCATGCCAGGGGTGTCCTATCCCCCCTCTCATTTTATCCCTTGAACTCTTCTTGAAAATAATTTTAGAGTTACAGGCAGGTAATACCCATTTTGAAGTCTCCACGTAGGTGGATGACCTTCCTTTTCTTCTTCAGTTACCCACACATCTTTAACTTATATCAGAATCTAAGACACATGAGGAGCTCTCCAATTTCCACATCAATTACCAAAGCTTAGAGGCCATGAACTTCACCCTGCCCAGTGATCAAGGCTAACTTATTTTTTACAGGGGCATCACAGTCCTCTTACCTTGCACGGCCTGACCTCTTTGGAACGCGGCCTCCTTGTCCTCGGCGCCCGACTGGACGGCCTCCTCATCCTCGGTGTCCAACACGGCCTCCTTGTCATCTTCGCTGCCCAACTGGAGCTCTGGCGACGCCTCCTGCCTCCTCCTTCAGTGTCCAGTGTCTCTGCCCCTGCCTCCTCCATTTTCGCCCCCCGCCTCTTCCGTCTCTGGGGCCACTCGACAAATTTTCTTCTCTCATGGGGGCCGCTTGCCACATTTCATACTATAAAATAAAATGTAACTGTATCCGGTATGGCACTACAGACACCAATATACACACAATAAGGCCCTATTCATATCTGTAGGTTTAGGTGTGATTAGGGATTCCTGCATCAGAAACTTGCGTTTTACTGCAGCAGAAATCCCTAATCTGGTGTTTACACACGATAGCTATCACCCATTCAAGTTAATGATCAGGCGGCAGCAGCTCCAGGTAAACGCCTGCACACCGCATGTAGGCGTAGGTGTTCAGGCCTTTATATGGAGCTGCTGTCACCTGATCATTAACTTAGGTGACAGCTGCCACTTGTAAATGCCAATTTAGGGATTTCTGCTGCAGGAAAACGCAAGTTCCTGATGCATAAATCCCTAATTGCACCTAAAATAAAGGTGTGAATGTAGCCTAATACACTTCTAC